GGTAATGAAGGTCGTGCGATGCATCAGAAACAGCCGAACCATTTTTTTTTAAGTTTTTTTTGAGTGCCTCTTCTATATGAACTAAGAAAATACCGAAAAATTCAAATTCCAAATTTTGAAAAAAATTAAATTTGTTGGAAAAAAATAATTTCAAGTTGCAAAAAAATATATATTTTAAATAATACTTTTGTCTAACTTTTTTAGTCCAATATAAGGTAATTTAATACTGAAGCTAGCTAACTAGCCTATATTCCTTTTGTTATCACCGGCACCATTTTTTAAGACTTTTGAAAATAAAATTCGAAAAAAAGCGATCAAAGTTCTGCCCGAGCAATCGCACCTGCTCAACTCGCTGACACTAAAACTGTTCGAGCTTCTAAAACATGTCGAATTGGCTACTGAAATTTTGATGATATATTCATGGACCGTTTTAGAATAGATTTAAGAAAAATAAATGCTTTTTTTGAAGTCTCTAGAGTAGACATTTGAACGAAATAGCTGTTGGACTAGCGTTTGGGTAACTTTATGGATATATGGGATACTCAGTAGTAACACAATGAAACCGATTCGGAGAAGACTTAAACGAGTATAAATATTTCGAGTTTCACATCAAAAATTTAATTTTAAGTCATATCATAAAAATGAACTTTTCAAATTGTGCTCACCTACGCCGAGTGTAAGCTCCTCATAAACATACAAAATTACTATAGAAAATAAAAATTAAATAAAAATCCATTGACATTCAGTACAATTAATATTCTTTATACTGGAACACACAAAAGAGAAAAAAAGTAAAAGTAAGAAATGTTCTGCGTCGAATGCGGAGATAAGGCAAAAACTAATAGGTAGAGTAAAACTCAACAACGCCACCACCCGCTTACTATATTCATTCTTTCTTTTCAATTGTGTAATATCTGCCCGTCAGCACTTAACGAACGTTGTACACAAAACATACGAAAGCACATACAAATTCTGATATACTCACAACGACCCTGACCTATAAACACATATGCTTACATGCATACATACAGGCATAAGTACATACTTGTACATATATATCAAGTAAAGAAAATACGAAAGACTTTAGGCACGAACTCGACAGTAAAAAGTACGCCATATAGGGAGACAAGCGACAATTCGCTAGAACTGAGCATTGCACGCTTAATGGTATTATTAAAAATTACGTCGTTTTGTGAAATGAAAACGAAATTATTATTATTATTATCTCTTTTTGGTGCTACAAATCAGCGCACACCCAAAAATGCTCACTCATACGCATTTGTTAAATAACTTTGCTAATGAATCAGAGGTCAGTTTTAGGGGTTTTCATAGTGGTAAGTGTAAAGAAGAAGGAAAGTCGGAGAGACGCCGTGAAATGGAATGAAAACATCATTTATCACGTATGCATACGTATACATACATAAATATATTATACGAATGTAAATTTCGTACGGCTTTGTTTTAATTAATTCACTTTTTCGTAAGGAATTTTTATTTATTATTATTTTCTTTTTTTTTTTAATAAAAAAATCAGGCCTGCATGCGTAGCCGTAGTCTTTAGACGAGATATTACAAAATAAAATGATTCAACTTTACATCGTTTCGCGTTGTGTTGACAAAACACACAAAAAGTACAAAAAAAAAGCAAAAAAGTAAAAAAAATACGAAAAACAAAAAACTCTCTACCAGTAAAGCACCAAAATAAAATAGCAAATGGCAAACTCCAAAATACCGTGACGCCACTCGATGTTGTTCCTTTTATATTTTTCGTTTCTTTGTTAGTGTTGAAAATTTTTTGGATTTTTGCATTTTGCCATTACGAGACGGGAAGAGCTGTAAAGAATGCCGCCAACGCCAACACAAGTGAAAGTGATTTCGAAAAAAAGAGCAAATACATATACGGGTACATATATATGTGTATATATACGAGTATCTACCAGATTCACTAATCCCGTAACCATTGTACAGTAGATTTTTGCTTGTTTTTTTTTTTCTTGCTGTTGGTTGTCGTTGTTGCTTACCAACGTTCCGTATTTTAACACATATGCACACACGTTTTTACATACTTAAGGCATGTTTGTGTGTATATAAATTATTGACAAGGCAGTGGAAAGTCGTTGTTGTTGTTGTTTTTTTTTTTTTTTTACTAATGTAGCCTTTTAGTCGTCTGCATAGTGCGGAAGAATAAAATAGTATGGATTACCATCGCTTATGCAATATTGCGTGTCTCACTGCGTCGTCACTATGGGTCTTGTTAGCGAACCAAAAATAAATTTCTATATGCTTAAGTAATTTTCGAATGATGTTCGCAAGTTTGGTTTTTATACTCAACGCAAATTTAGTTATACAAATAAAGTAGTTGAAAACCACACGGTTGGGCAGGGTTTTATGTATGTGTGTCAGCAAAAGAGAGATTGGAGTACTAATATTATTTGGTAATCTTTATAAATATCTAAATTAAACTTATTTCTCATAAGTTTTTAGCTTAGATTGAACTAAGTTTTTTAAAACATCTTTTTCTTCCTTACTGGCGTAGACACCGATTATGCGATTATAGCCGTATTTATAACATTACACCATTCATTTCATTTTTTCGCTGTTTGGCACCAACTGCCAGGTTTCGCTCTATCTGGGCTTTCCATTCCAGACAGCGCAGCAGCTTTTTCTTCATTCGCTGAACTATGTCATTGTCTCATACAGCTCATTCTTCCATCGGCTGTCGTATTCGCCATTCCCAACTCGTAGAGGACCTTAAATCTGACACAAAACCTTTCTCGAAAACTCCTAACGCCGACTCATCAGATGTTGTCATCGTCCATGTATCCGCACCATATAGCAGGACCGTAACGGTAAGCTATTTTTAGAATTCGGTCTTTGCTCGTCGAGAGAGGACTTCACTTTTCAATTGCTTACTCAGTACAAAGTAGCAACTGTTGGCAAGAATTATCCTGCGTTGGATTTCCAGGCTAACATCTACGACTTCAAAGTTATAAAAAAGTGTACCTCCTCTATTCAGCTCTGTAGCACCTAATATTTTGTCCAACAATAAACTGAAGAAGTCACATGGAATCTGTCTGAAACCTTGTTTGGTATCGAACGGCTCGCATAAGTTTTGCGGGGATACCGAATTCAGACATGGCATCATAAGTAGCTCCTATTCACACTGTCGATGGCTGCTTTAAAATCGACGAAGTGATAGTGTGTCGATCCTATTTTTAGGAGTCTAAGATTTGGCACATGGTAAATATCTAGTCAATGGTTGAGTCACCAGGTTTAAAGCCACACTGATAAGGTCCAATCAGTTTATTGATGACAGGCTTTATACTCTCGACAGGGTCTTATATGCGATGTTGAGGAAGTTTATCCTCCGGTAATTGGCGCAGACTGTGGGATCGGACTTATTGGGGATTGGGCAGAGCACACTTAAATTCCAATCGGCGGGCTTGATTTCCTCTGACCATATCCCACAAAGTATCTGATGCATGCACCTTATGAGCTCTTCGGCGTTATGTTTGCTTATCTCTGCCTGTAAAAATAATTACAATTTTATTGGCGAAATATAAAAGATATAGGGATGAGGAGAGTAGGAGTAGATTTTATGTATAACCAAGAGGTTGGTAACTGTTGGCTTAAAGCATCCTATTGACTTTATTGGAATTGGTAAAGAGTTCCACATTCCGACAGCGCCAGCATGAACAAACCAGAGCTCGCCAAAGTTTTGCATTTTGGAACAACAATATAGTGAGTACGAGAAGTTTGCACAAGCTTTCTTTTGCGGAAAAGGTATCCACGTTGAAAAGGTATCCCATAATCAATTTTCCTCCTGCATAACGTCTTCTTTTTTGTTGTCATTGTAACATCAAATTAAAGACGAACGCGCGCTTTTATGGACTTTCCAAATGAAAACCAAACACTTATGCCGATTCGGTCCAATTTACCTCAAATGAAGCTAAAATCGTCATATGAACATAGCATGAATAATCAAATAAAAATATTTATTCCCTTTTCACATTGCACATACATACGCATGTACATATATTTGTACTTAAATCTGAGTCAACATAAGACACGAAGCGGTCCAACACAGTAAATAGTAAATGCCTACGTCACAAGTTACCTTGACATAACCCAACAACATTTACCCATGTTGGCTGCATGGATGGCTATGATTTCGGCGAAATTCGTGATCGGCACACCCAATGAAGTATGTAATGAAAGCGAAAAGCTCAACAACTGGCAAGGACGGCTATTATGAGAAATGAGAATCATACATACATAAATGTATAGTTGTATATGTATGAGTAAGCTTAGAGGCATTCAATAGGGCTAAGGTATCTTCAAACAACGCTGTAATCGTTAGTTCATGCGGCTAGTTATTATTGCTGTTGCTGTTGCTGTTTCTGAGTAGTAAATAGCATGTGGGCGAGCTAACTCACACACACACACACATATATATATACTACAAAACTAAAAACGAATAATGTGAAAAATGTTCGCCAACTTTTTTGAAGACTGTCCTCATGTGAAGAGCTTGTTTAAATTTTAACTCTCACTTGTAAAAATTGTAAGTCGAGGCATTTATATGAATATCTCGTTAGCGAGAATTTGTGAATGTCATTTTTGCGCTCCGTCACTATTTATCGCTCAGCTGGAGTTGGTGATGAATTGTCGAAATACATGCAGTTCCACTAGCTGAGCATCTCCTTGGCTCAAGCTGAGGGGTTGTGCAACAAATGAGTGTGTGAGCGTATAAGCTTATGAATGTAAGTTTCCATACAAGCTTGGCGCGTTTGCAACACCACCAACGAACGGCTGTCGTGCGCACTTGCTCGCTCTCTTGTTTGTTGCAAAAGTGCGCGCGAAGCTCGTTGCGCTCACTGCGGCGCTCAGACAGAGAAAGCAAATGCGAGATTGTAAAGTGAAGAAAGAAAGGGGGTCACAACTTTCACGCGATATAAAAATCATGATACCAATTCGGCCGGACCGCATTTTCACGTCAACGCTGCGCCTAAAGAGAAGTCGTTTGTGTTTTGGTTTTTATTCGCTTGCTCAGACTTGTGTTGCGATTTAAAAGTGTGCATTTGAAACGCTTGTGAATTTTTGACGTCCTTCTAGTGACATTAACCCAAATACAAAAAAAAATTGCATAGATATACATACATATATACATTGAAAATTATAAATTTTAATTTGACTGCCACAACCACAATGGTTAGAGAAATTTAAAAACCAAAAAGTGTCAAGTGCAAGAAAACGAAAGAGAATTCACTGTCTTTTCAAGAAAATCAAGAAAAGTTAAAAAAAGTGCAAAAAATTTAAAATTTCGAACAAATTGTAAATAAAATAAAAAATATATATTATCACTAAGTGATTGAGATATATTGCAATTAGTAGATTAAAACAACTGGGGAAAAACAATAAACGAGAACGCGTCATTTTGATTGGATTAAACGAAATACAAACATATTTTTAATAAAAAAGACGTAAACTGCCAAAGGAAGGGAAAGAAGCAAATTAAAAACTCATAAAACACAAGTGAAAGGATTACAACAACTGTACAAGCAGGTGAGTTAATGCTACGAAAATGTGATTTCTGTGAAAAACGTTAATTTTTTTAATTTTTTAATTATTTACAAAGAAAAATTGAAAGAAAGAATTAAAAAAGAATTACGGGTAATAAATCAAATCTTAGCAAATAATATTTAGGAAAATTTTTTTTTGAAAATCATCATAACAAATTCAGCCAAATTACGAGAAGGAGAAAACTGTTTAAAACAATACTTTGTAGAGACATAATAAAATGAAATAATATAAAAAATATATAAAATACAATCAATTGAAATAAAATAAAGTAAAACAAAACATAAAACAAAGCTAACTAAGAATAAATAGGAAATAATTTAATATTAAATAAAAAAATTACATAATTGAAAAATTAATAAATAAAATAAAATTAAAAAACTTAAACAAACAATTAAATAATTAAAAAATTAATAAATAAAATTAAATAATAATAATATTAAAAAAAAAATAATTTAATATAATAATTAAAAATTAGATATAACAGAATAGAACAACATGTATAAGGTAAAAACCTGAGAAATAAAATTAAAGTTAAATAAAATAGAACAAAACAAAATGAAACATAATAATAAAAAAAGTTAAATTAAATAAAGTAAAATAGAATAGAACAGAATGAATGAACTAAAAGATTAAAAAATAAAATAAAGTACAAAAAAAATGGAGTCCAAAAATAAAATAAGAAAAAAAAGTTTATTGAAAATGAAATGAAAGGAAAAACTAAAATTAGATAACATTAAAAACAAATAAAATAAAATGACATTAAGTAAAAAATCCATAAGTGAAATGCAATAAAATAAGACGAAATATAATTTTGTAAAATATAAAACAAACTGAAAATGACAAAAAAAATTTAAATGAAATAAAATAAAATAACATAAAATAGAATAATATAATACAAAGTTAAATAAATAGAAATAAAAAAATAAAATCATATTAATTAAAGTAAAAAGGCAATACATTAAAAAATTTATTAAATATACTAAAATAATATAAAATTAAATAAAATAAAATATAATAAAATAAAACAAATTTAATTAAATTGAAATAAAGAAAGTTAAAGAATTATAAATTAATATTAATTGAAGTTAATAAAAATAAAATCTAATACATTGAAAAATCTATAATATATACTAAAATAATATAAAATGAAAAAATATAAGATAAGTTAAGATAAAATAAAAACAAAATAAAATATTACAGATAAATAAAAAATATAAAAGACAAATAAGTTAAAATAAGTAAAATAAAAACCATTGAAAAAAAACTTATTAAAATATAAAAATAAATGAAATAATAAAATTAAAAAAAAATTAATATTGAAAAATGAAAGAAGAAAATTATTAAAAAAATTAAATAGCATACATACAATAAAGTAAATAAAATAAAAATTTTTACCAAATAAAATAAAATAAAAAAATATTAAAAATAAAAGTTAAATTTAACCATTAATTCGATTAACTTGAATATATTAAAATTTAATTACGATCTGAAATTAAAATTTTAATTTACCATATGAATGCTAAAAAACGGTCACAGTTATTACGCATATACACATACACATACATACAATATTATAAGCACATTTGCATTTGCTTGAAATCATCAACGGTAATCGCACGAAATTCAAAGCTACACCAACAAACACAAAATTCATTTTAACTTCAAGCCAACACTAATACAGTTATACTCGTAGATGCCACGCATAGAGCTTCGCATAAAAGTTGCAACGCATCTGCTATTTCGTATATAAATTAATAACTTATACTTATGTACATAGAAAAATAAGTAGATTTATTGCATGTATTGTACATGTACATAGGTTTAAGACTATGCTTGGTTGAAAATTTTCGCTGCATTCGTAATATTGTAGTGTGTGCATACATATTTATGTATGCTTGTATTTGCGTTTTTCTCTTAGTTGTGGTGAAATTTCTCCGACACTTTTATATTGCGCGCATGTTTTCGTGCGAATGAATGAAAGTATGGAATTATCCATCTCTCATTGTGGCTGACGACTGATTGTTTTTTTGTTTTTTTGTTTTATTTATTTTTTGTTTTTCTTATTTTTATATCTCTTTTTTCTTTTTCCACAAATTTATTTTTTCTAAATATATATGTACATATGTGAGTATTGTTTTAAAATAACGTGGCAACAAAGCAGCGAAGTACGTGTATATGCATATGTATGTTTGTATGCAAGTATACTATATCTGTATACATACATATGTATGTGTTGGCTGCTGAATTGGAGGATATTGACTGTGTGGCTTATGCCAATTTTCACCACTAGTTTCTTGCGGTAATGGCAAGACTGCCGACAATGTCAACAACAACAGCAACAACAAGAACAATAACAGTAACGTTGCTTGCAGCTTCATTTTGAGCAGTAAGCTGCAGTAGTCAATTGTGGCAGTTGATGCTGTTATTGTTGTTGTTTCTTTATATTTTAGCTCCTACTGTTGTTGGTTGCTGCAAATGTTGTAGCGATTAAAAATCGTCGGCACAATCTTGCGAATTGAGTTTTGTTTGAAATTTCGCTCCACTTTGTGTGGCAGTTCAATATGTACACGAGCATTATGTGTGCGTATATGTACTTATGTACATAAATATATATATATATATATATATATATATATATAGATATTGGAAAAGCGAGCACTATGGACTGGCATAAACATTCAAATCTATGCATTTGTTAGTATGTATGTATATATGTATGCCTGTAGCGTTGCTTTGTGCGCTATGTTGCGTTACAATTCACATTATGGTCCGTTTGGTTGCTGCTGTTGGTGCAGTTGCTGTTGTTGTTGGTGCACTACAAGTTACTAGCTGCTGGTTGGCAACTTTCATCGCCAACTCGGCAACATACATACATACATACTCGCAAATAAGCGCTTGCTGTCGAGAGTGTATGCCACCAATTGTTGCTGCTGTTGGCTGTTGGCTGTTCGGTTGCTTGGTTGTATGGTTGTTTGCCTGTTGGCAACTGGAAATCGTGCACTAAAGTGACAGAACAAGTGCAAGTTACCAACATCTAATACAAACTAACAGCATTATGCACATAAATTCATGCCATTACACTTACATATGTACATACATACAGATGCACAGACATGCACAAATAGGGTAGTGAGCACCAGCAGCCAGCAGCTAGCAGCCAGCAGCTAGCAGCCAGCGTTATTGCAAGTGCCGTCAAGTAAAAGAAAGTAAATGCAAGACCGGCATGGCGCCACGACATATTGGACTTATATACATATATTTAAATGCTTTGGTGCTGCAAAAAGGTAAAAATAAATATTTCTGCAGACAGATTTGGTCACAACAGGTGTCATATAACGGTGTATTTACTTATGTATGTATGTATGCGTGCTTAATCGTTTCGCGAACGACCCTTCATTTCGTCTGTCTGTCGGTTTCGTTTGACTGCGCATTACCGTTCAGAAATTCCATACACATTCATATACATTACAAGTACAATTCATACATACAAAGCGAGTTTATTGCTGCAACATTTTTGCGCACTCAAGTGTTGCAGTGTTTTCTATGCAATGATAATCCAAAAAAATGGAACTCGCTGTTGTTTAGGATGGCGTGGTGCGCCATGGTGCCATACAGATGCGTCAATGTTTGAGAAATCGAGCACAAATTTCTTAATAACTTTAATTCAGCACGGAAATTAGCAGCAATACATACATATATATATATATAAAGAAGGTAAAAAAATCGCAAAAAATTACTAAAATAAAGAAAATGTCAACATTTTTTTTTATTTATTAATCATTTTAAAAAATTGAATTTCAAAGCGGTAATATGTAGTATAAGAAGCAATATTAATTTATACAACAGGGTTGCCAGAAATTGGACAAAAAATCAAAGTTTATAGTATTTCGTCAAATTTTTAAGAAAAATAATTTATAATTCAAAAATGAAGTTTTTAGAAATCGCAGTTCAGTAATGTAAATTTAGCTCTAAATTAAATTTGAAAATTATAATTAAATTGGTTTGAATATAAAAATTGTTTTTTAGCACTCAGAAATAATACAAAATTTACATACAAAAATTTGTTTAATAAAAATTTCAAAACTCAGCTATTTTAAAATAATATGAAATATATAATTAAAACATCAAAACGAAAATACGTATTTAAAAATTTGTGTCAAATAAATTTTTAAAATTAATTATTCTGTTTTTCACATTCTCAATAAAAAAAAAAAAAAAAAATTGTCAGACATAAATTTCAAAATTTATCTTTTTGTTTTTTTTTCTAACAAAAAAGTATGATAAAAATTTTGTTAAATAAAAAAAAATTTTCAAACTTCATTCTTTTGTTTCCCATATTAAAAAATAATAAAAAGAATATGTTTTTTTTTTGAAAAAGTTTATTTTATTTTTTATGTTTAAATTCTTGGATAAATTTTTTTTTGAAATGCATATCAGCATCGAATGAAACTGAAGGAGAAGGAGTTGAAGTTGAATGATAATGATTACATTAAATATTTTTTATTAGTCTAAAAGATTTCGTTTGGAAATGCAAGACTGCCCCAGAACATTTTAAAAAATTAGATTTAGCTTCCTCTCAGTAGAAAAATTTCAATTTTTTCAAACGAAGGAATTTTAAGTAATTAAAAATTTATGGAAAATTTTTTAAATTTATTACTAAGAAACATTTTGTTTTATAAAAGTTTACTTTCATTTTCTAACAGTCTCTAGTACATCATAATTAACTTTATAGCGAGTATATATAGATACATAGGCGAATAAATTATGTATTATAGTAAACACATTATATACAAACTTTTTTTTTTGTATTTTTGAAAGTATTTTTTAAAGTGATTATCAGATTTCTTAAAGTAAAATTTTTACCACAAGTTAATTTATATATTTTTGTGGGATGACGAAAAAGTCTCGAATGCCGTGCTGTGGAACATTTTTTTTAGAAATGGATTTTAAATATAGTTAGTCCTTTTGCGTATATTTTTTTT